TAGTCTTTAGCAGGATGTTATATAGCTCCTAGAAGTCTGCTAATTAGAGAAAGGAAATGTCTCAAAACTCAGAGAATGGCACCAGGCCCCTCAGCCATATCATGCATTTTGAGATAACATTGGCACAAGGGGAGTTGTCCCGGGCCATAAAATGATTGACATGAATTTTGAAGAGAGGCAGGTTTCCATGCAAATACAGTCTCATGTACATAGCTTAAGAGAACATTTGCATGAGTAAAACATACCGGTTTATTAAGTCAGTTTTGAGTCTTAAGTGGAACTAACTTGAAGACAATTCAGTTCAGTTCAGTCACTCAGTCGTGTCTGACTCTTTGTGACCCCATGGACTGCAGCACTCCAGGCTTCCCTATACATCACCAACTCCCAGAGCTTACTCAAGGTCATGTCCATTGAGTTGGTGATGCCATCCAACCGTTTCATCCTCTGTCGTCCCCTTCACCTCCCACCTTCAATCTTTTCCAGCATCAGGGACTTTTCAAATAAGTCAGTTCTTCCCCACAGGTGGCCAAAGTATTGGAGTTTCAGCTTCAGCACCAGTCCTTCCAATGAATATTCAGGACTGACTTCCTTTAGGATGGGCTGGTTGTATCTCCTTGCTGTCCAAGGGACTCTCAAGAGTCCCCTCCAATACCACAGTTCAAAAGCATCAATTCGTTGGCACTCAGCTTTCTTTATAGTCCATCTCTCACATCCATACATGACTACTGGAAAAACCATAGCCTTGACTAGACAGACCTTTGTTGGCGAAGTAATGTCTCTGCTTTTTAATATGCTGTGTATGTTGGTCATAACTCTTCTTCCAAGTTGAAGACTCTTAAAGACAGAGTCTAGGGTAAATATATAGTCTAGGGTAAATACATGGTTCATTAACATAGCTAAAGACAAACATTTCCATAAGAAAACCGCATTGGTTACCTCAAGGTTGGAGAACAGTTAAGTTCAGGTGGAGCCAGGTGTCATCATGGCATCACAGAATTTTAAGAGAAATCTCTTTTAAAATTTATGTAGAGAAGGGAAAAAATCTTAATACTTGTAGTTTGTTTCCTCCTGCCACTTTCACTTCAGTTCAGTTCAGTTGCTCAGTCGTGTCCGACTCTTTGCGACCCCATGAATTGCAGCACGCCAGGCCTCCCTGTCCATCACCAACTCCCGGAGTTTACTCAAACTCATGCCCATCGAGTCAGTGATGCCATCCAGCCATCTCATCCTCTGTCATCCCCTCCTCCTCCTGCCCCCAATCCCTCCCAGCATTAGGGTCTTTTCCAATGAGTCAACTCTTCGCATGAGGTGGCCAAAGTACTGGAGTTTCAGCTTCAGCATCACCCTGCCACTTTAGAGAGAGATAAAAAATGTCTGACACTTGCAGCGTATTTCCTCCGTTTGGAAACCCCTGTCCTTCCTGCCTTTTACCCTCTCAGTAGGAGCCTAGAACCAGGGGGAGGGGAGCTGGGCTGGATGGTCCTTGCTCGGAGATTGCCCTCCAAGGGCTGGACCTGCTACCTGTGTATATATCTTTGGGAGACAGCAGGTGGCAGACATCATCACAAGGGCTCTTCTCTACTATGTAGGTTGGCAAGAACTATTCTTGCATCAGATTATGTTTTCCAAGGTGGCCTTAACAAGATCTTCCCTCCCACATGCTCCTTTTACAGTTTGACACTGATGCTCTTTGCTCTAAGATCTCTCACTTTGAGTCTGGGCGGTGTGATGCTATGTGATGCCATGCTATGTGATTTCCAAAGCTAAGTCATAAGAAGAGATAGATCTTCTGCCTGGTCCTCTTGGGATACTTGCACTTAGAAATCAGCCACCATTCTGTGAAGAACCAGGCCACATGAAGAGGATACCTGTAAGTGTTTCAGCTATAGCCACATCCAGGCTCCTGGCTAACAAGCTTTAACTTGCCAGCCATGTGACTGAGCCGTGTGGGAAGTCGATCCTCCAGTCCCCAACTGAGCTACCCCAGCTGACGTTGCCTGGAACAGGAGCATGCCTTCCCCACTGAGTGTTGCTCAAATTGTAGATTTATGAGATAAATAAATTACTGTGGTTGTTTTAAGCCACTAAGCTTTTGGGTTGTTTGTTGTGCACCAAAATCTAAATAAAACAGTCTGTCAGCAGACTTTCTTTGTATTCTGAATGTCAATACAGCTGATTGTTCTCCACTGCTATTTCCTTTTTATTCTAGCTTGTCTCTGAATTCTGAGGCTTTGGATGCAAAGATGTCAGGGCTAGGGGAGACTTTATATGGCCATGCAAAGCCTAAGAAGCTTGAAGAGATAATAATAGATTCCATACAAGAATGAGGTTCAGTCCACCCATATTTGTTAAACTCCATTATTTGCCAAGCACAGTGTTAAGGCTTCCCTGGTTGCTCACGTGGTAAAGAATCCACCAGCAATGCAGGAGACCTGGGTTCAATCCCTGGGTTGGGAAGATCCCCTGGAGAAGGGAATGACTACCCTCTCCAGTAGTCTGGCTTGGAGAATTCCATGGACTATATAATTCATAGGGTTGCAAAGAGTTGGACATGACTGAGGGATTTTCACTTTCATTATTTGCCAAGCACACTGTTAGGTGCTAGAGATTCACTTACTGATGCAAATACATCCCAAGCACCTATTGTGTGCCAGGGGCTCTTCTAGGCTATGGAGATATAGAGGAACACAAGAGCAAGAATCCCTGCCCATCTTGAGGGGAAACAGGCAGTATGCTGCTGCTGCTACTGCTAAGTCACTTCAGTCATGTCCAACTCTGTGCGACCCCATCCCTGGGATTCTCCAGGCAAGAACACTGGAGTGGGTTGCCATTTCCTTCTCCAATGCATAAAAGTGAAAATTGAAAGTGAAGTCGCTCAGTCATGTCTGATTCTTAGCGACCCCATGGACTGCAGCCTACCAGGCTCCTCCGTCCATGGGATTTTCCAGGCAAGAGTACTGGAGTGGGTGCCATTGCCTTCTCCAAACAGGCAGTATACACATGTATAAATTAATGAGATGATGCTGGGTCTTCCCTGGTTGTCCAGTGGTTAAGAATCTGCCTTGCAATGCAAGAGACACTGGTTCGATCCCTAGTCCAGGAAGATCCCGCATGCCTTGGGACAAGTGCCTGTGTGCCACAACTACTGAGCTGACATGCCCTAGAGCCTTCGCTTTGCCACAAGAGAAGCCACTGCAATGAGAAGCCTGCACACTGCAATGAAGAGTAGCCCCCGCTTGCTGCAACTAGAGAAAGTCTGCATGCAGCAACAAAGACTGAGCACAGCCAAAAAACCACAAAAAAACAAAAATGTTGCCAAATAGAGCCAACTTCTATGACAAAAATAAAACAAAGCAATACACTAGAGGAGTGTGACTGTGGTTTGTCTACTTAGGTCAGGGTAGTCATGGAAGGCCTCTCAGAAGTGGTGACACTGAGCTTACCCCTGAAAAATGAGAAGCAGCTCCCACATCCCCATCAGATGAAAATCAGAGCCAACAGCATTTTAGGCAGAGGAAACAAGTTCTCCTGAGGTGGGAAAGGAGGCCAGTGTGACTGGAGTGGAGAAAGCAAAAGGAAGAGAGGCAGAAAACAGAGTTGACTGAATGTGGCCTCTGCCTTGTAGGTCAGAGTGATGGTTTTATTCTCGTGCCTTGGGAAACCATTGGGTTCTAAGCAGGGGATTGATATGATTTGACTTAAGTTTTGAAAATATCACTCTTGGCAAATAAGCACATGAGAAGATGTTCAACATCCTTAGTCATTAGGGAACCAAAAGTTACAAGCACAATTACAACCACAGTTATTAGGGTAGCAAGCAAATAAACAAACCATGCTGACAATACAAGGACTGGAGAGGATGTCAGAGGAACTGAAACTCTTATACCTGTAGTTGCATTTACAGTTATATATAACATTTACACCACATAGACACAATGGGTATAAATAACCTGAAGAGCATTTAAAATAGTAAACTATATTAAATAGGAAGTGATGAGTTTTAAGACTCTGACTCTAATTACAATGTGCATTTTTTTTCTCCCATACTTCCAAGCAAATCACAAACACCAGATAAGTGTCCCACAGTTTAACTCAATTCTGACACCATCAGCACAAAGATAACACAGGTGTCCACATGTTAAGAGCTCAGCCCTACAAGACTGCCCTCCCCTTCCAGTGGCGACTATAAGTCAGTTGTCCCTGTGCGTCTGCCTGGGGAAAGGGCGTGGAGCTCCCATACTCTCTGTGAGCTCACCACTCTTCCCACTTCTCCTGGTCTTCACCAACCCTAGACTCTGAACCACATCCACTTGGTTTTATGGAGATTTTCATTACACTGGCAGAGTTGATTAATTCATTAGCCAAGTCAGGGAGTTGAGACTGAAAGTTCCAACCCTCCAGTGACTTGGTTGCTTCCCCTGGCTTAGGTGCTTTCCAAAATTCACTTCACTGATATAAACTCAGGTATGGTTGAAAGAGGCTTGTTATGAATATCAAGATATCTTTATCATTTTATCACTTAGGCAATTCCAAGGGTTTTAGGAGCTCTGTGACAGAAATGGGGAAGAAGTCCAAGTATATATGTGTGGGTGTTTTTATTGTAAACATCACAGTTACTTTTGTCTTGTTTCAAACTTTTTATCATGAACAATTTCAAACACAGAAAAGTAGAAGGAAGAAAGTGTAAGAAACCACCATTATCCATCATCTGTCTTCAACGATTATCAATATATTGCTAAACTTGTTTCATCTACGTCTTTGCCTTCTTTAGTGTAATTCATTTAATCGTAAGTTAAGACAACTAAATTTTCCATAACGGCTGTGTTTAACAACTGGCTTGCAAAATGCCTGAAATATTAACAGTTGGTTTTTGTAAGGGTCTCCAGCACACCACACCATTGCTCTTGCAGGGAGGCTGGTTTCGAAAGAGGGAAGGAGGGGGTTGAGGCGGTTGAGGCCCTGCCCTCTGACCTGCTGTCTGCTTCCTTCTGTGGTCTCAGGTGGAGGGGATCCCCATGGAGTCTGAGCAGCGGATCAGTGACCTCAGTCATTCTAGGAAATGTGCAGCATCAATGGAAACCGGTGTGTGACAGCTCTAAGGAAATCAGGCTTTCTTGTTTACAATATACAAAAACTTGCTCAGGCAACAGGCGGGTTTGTTCAAGACCACAGGAACTGTCCGGGCTTTAGAACCAGCTGCCTTTGCTGAGCCTTTGTCATAGGGGCGGGGCTCAGGGTGTTTCTTTCTTCGCATGGCCCTTTCATCAGTCCGTCTCAGCAGCCCACAGACTGCATGCTCATTCTCGCTGTGAGTTTAATAAAGGGACTATCTGCAAAAGTGGGGGTAGAGTTGAAGGAACAGGCAAGGCTCGCTTACCTGTTCTCCAGGCCCTTGTGTGTAAGGGAGCAGGGAAGGTGGTTAGGGGAGAGCAGAGACTTGAAGTTCTTTTCACACCGGGAGGGGGCGCTGCCTTCTGGGCTCTGACTTCGCCGGTTTCAGCTCCGAACTACCAGAGCCCGGTAATAAGTGCCTGAATATGCAAGAGCCCTGGTGTCAGGCGCCTCGAATTTGACTCCCGACGCTGCGTGACCTCACTCTGAGCCTGGGAACTTATTTGTGAATGGAAGTAATAACAAAGCCTGCCGGGTAGGGTTGCTGTATAGATTAATTGAGATAAGAATAGCTACTTACTGTGTGCAAAGAGAAGCTAAAAGCAAAGGAGAAAAGGAAAGATATTCCCATTTGAATGCAGAGCTCCAAAGAATAGCAAGGAAAGATAGGAAAGGGGAAAAAAAAAAAGATAGGAAAGCCTTCCTCAGCGATCAGTGCAAAGAAATAGAGGAAAACAACAGAATGGGAAAGACTAGAGATCTCTTCAAGAAAATTAGAGATACCAAGGGAACATTTCATGCAAAGATGGGCTCNCATGAGTTTGAGTAAACTCCGGGAGTTGGTGATGGACAGGGAGGCCTGGCGTGCTGCAATTCATGGGGTCGCAAAGAGTCGGACACGACTGAGCAACTGAACTGAACTGAAGTGAAAGTGGCAGGAGGAAACAAACTACAAGTATTAAGATTTTTTTCCCTTCTCTACATAAATTTTAAAAGAGATTTCTCTTAAAATTCTGTGATGCCATGATGACACCTGGCTCCACCTGAACTTAACTGTTCTCCAACCTTGAGGTAACCAATGCGGTTTTCTTATGGAAATGTTTGTCTTTAGCTATGTTAATGAACCATGTATTTACCCTAGACTATATATTTACCCTAGACTCTGTCTTTAAGAGTCTTCAACTTGGAAGAAGAGTTATGACCAACATACACAGCATATTAAAAAGCAGAGACATTACTTCGCCAACAAAGGTCTGTCTAGTCAAGGCTATGGTTTTTCCAGTAGTCATGTATGGATGTGAGAGATGGACTATAAAGAAAGCTGAGTGCCAACGAATTGATGCTTTTGAACTGTGGTATTGGAGGGGACTCTTGAGAGTCCCTTGGACAGCAAGGAGATACAACCAGCCCATCCTAAAGGAAGTCAGTCCTGAATATTCATTGGAAGGACTGGTGCTGAAGCTGAAACTCCAATACTTTGGCCACCTGTGGGGAAGAACTGACTTATTTGAAAAGTCCCTGATGCTGGAAAAGATTGAAGGTGGGAGGTGAAGGGGACGACAGAGGATGAGATGGCTGGATGGCATCACCGACTCGATGGGCATGAGTTTGAGTAAACTCCGGGAGCTGGTGATGGACAGGGAGGCCTGGCTTGCTGCGATTCATGGGGTCGCAAAGAATTGGACACGACTGAGCGGCTGAACTGAACTGAACTGATACTTACTATGTGAAAGCAGTCTTCAACTCTTTGCAGAATGAATAGACTCTGCTAAAGCGCTTTATTTTTGCGACCTCTCATTAATTCCTTTTAAAGGTATTTACTAAGCATCTAATCTATGCGAGATACTGTTACCCTTAAGGGAGTTGGGCACTTTGAAGGCTGGACGGAGGGGAGGAGCCTCATGTGTTTCCCCGCCCACGACAGCGAAGCCCAATGGGGGCCCGCGGAGGCGGTGAGTCCCGCCCACTTTTCGGGGCAGGCCCGGAAACGGGGTTGGGGAAGTTGCTGTATTTCCGGTCGGTGTGTAGGCACCGCTGCTCGAGCAGCCGTCGACCCGGCTTCTGTCCAGCCTCCTCCGGGAAGATGTTTTACCACGTGAGCAGGGCACAGGGTGGCGGCGAGGGCAGCCTCAAGAGGAGGAGCGAAATGGAAGGCTGGGACTAGGAGCGGCTTCTTGCCTATATTCCTCCCGCTCCTTGCCCGACTCCATTCCACTTTCCCCACAGATCTCCCTGGAGCACGAGATTCTGCTACATCCGCGGTACTTCGGCCCTAACCTGCTCAACACGGTGAAACAAAAGCTCTTCACCGAGGTGGAGGGGACCTGCACCGGCAAGTGAGTGTCGCACCCTCCCTGCCGCCTAAGCACTGCGCACACGGCCTTCTATGCCTTGCACCCCCTTCCCAGCGCCTACACATCGTGAAAGCTTCTGCAACCTACCCTGGCAAGCCCTCTCACCCTCCGAGGCAGTCAGCTGCTTCCTGCTTTGGGTTCCCACGGTGCCCTCTGCGAAGTTCCATAACAGAACCTCCTTTGTTCAGCCAACATTTGTCATTAACTCTGCAAACATTTCTGAAGCTCCAGCTGTGTGCCAGGGCCCTGTGCTGGGCCCTGGAAACAATGCAGTGAAAAAGACAAAATGATGTCAGCCCTTGTTTTTCTTTACCCCCCATACCCAGGGACCTGGCATGGCACATCTTGGGCCTCACTAAAAGTTTGTTGAATGAATGGGCAGGATAAAGCAGATTGAGAGTTAGCGGGAGGAGGGAAGAGAACTGAGACTTGACCATCTCTGGGCTCTGCACTGAGGAGCTCCGCACATGGTGAAGTAAATGAAGGGGGAGGAGCAGGGCTATAGCGTACTCAGGTATCCAGCATCAGAGTCAGCTGAGGTGTTCTTTGAACATACAGGTTCCTGAGCCTTATCTCATCCCTCCAGCATCAAGACTGGGGACCAGCCTGGGAACAGGCATTTTAGCAAGTTTCTCCCAGGTGATTCTGAGGCATCACCAAGATTGAGATTAAGAACTTCAGCCTTTTTGGACACTGACTGTGAAATTATGAGAGCAGCGTTTGGCATTATAGCTGCTGCTGATTGTCCTGTCCTCTCTTGATCATTAAGCTCTCCTGGGGCCAGGGGGCCAACTACTCCCCCTTTGTGCTCCCCCTTTACCTCCAGGGTCAGTGACTCTTGCGGTAGATGCTTTTTTGTATTTTTTTCTGGCTGCGCTGGGTCTTCGTTGCTGCACGGGCTTTCTGTAGTTGCAGCAAGCGGGGCTCAGTTGCTGTGTGTGGGCTTCTCATTGTGGTAGCTTTTCTTGTTGAGGCACGTGGGCTCTAGGGCTTGGGCTTAGTAGTTGCAGCACACTGGCTTAGCTGTTCTGTGGCATGTGGAATCTTCCCGGACCAGGGATTGAACTTGCGTCCCCTGAACTGGCAGGGGTATTCTTAACCACTGGACCACCCGGGAAGCCCTCCTGTGGCAGATGGTTTCAGAGGCTCTTTCATAGACAGTGCCTTTCACTTTCTCTGCCTCCTTGCAGGTATGGCTTTGTAATTGCCGTCACTACCATCGACAATATCGGTGCTGGTGTGATCCAGCCAGGCCGAGGCTTTGTCCTTTATCCAGTTAAGTACAAGGCCATTGTTTTCCGGCCCTTTAAAGGGGAGGTCGTGGATGCGGTGGTCACTCAGGTCAACAAGGTAAGACCATCCACAGGGTAGGTAGTGGGAAGGTCCCTCGCTTAGAAGATCTGGGATGGGTCCCACTTTGGTCAAATTCTGTGTCTTTGGTCAAATCACTTCTCTCTGCTTCAAGTTTCCTCACCTGTCAAATGGTATGGTAATCTTGCCCTGCCTCACTCAGGAGCATGTAAGTCAGTAGTAAGTCAAAACAATAGTAGCCTCCATTGTGGGCCAGATAGTGTGCAAAACCTCTGAATGACTGTGAAATGCGTGCTTTTATCTCCACACCGAAGCTTGGAGAAGTTGAGTCTGCTGGCAACGGTCACGTGTCCAACAAGTGTTGAAAGCCCAGAATGACAAGTTCTAGGTCTCAGCTGTTTACCACTACACTTCCTTAGCTTAAAATGAAAGCTTGGGAAGAAAAAAAAAGAAAGCTTGGGGGAAAAAAAATGACAAACTTCAGAGTAGTTTCAAAACATGAAGAATATTGTTAAGAACCACATAAAGATGGGAGGCTTAGGAGACTTTGGGAGACAAAAGAAAAAGCAAGGTCTCTCTTTTCTCTTCTAGGTTGGACTCTTCACAGAAATTGGTCCCATGTCCTGCTTCATCTCTCGACACGTAAGTCTAGGTATACTGGGTGGGTCTAAGGAGGAGACCTGTACTCAGGAGAATTTGCTAAAGCATCCTTTTCAAGTGCTCTTACTCAGTTTGACCTTCCTTTCAGTCCATCCCATCAGAGATGGAATTTGATCCTAACTCCAACCCACCGTGTTACAAAACGATGGATGAGGTGAGTGGGCAGAAGAAGTTGGTGAGAGGGACAAGGGAATGAGCCACTCCGAGGGAGGATATTGGCCTGGGGGTGTCTGACTGTACTGTTCCCTCCTCCCCAGGACATTGTGATTCAGCAGGACGATGAGATCCGCTTGAAGATTGTGGGAACCCGTGTGGACAAGAATGACATCGTGAGTCTCCTGACTGCCTCCCTGCCCATACCAGGCCGAGCTGTTGCATTCTTCCTACTCAGAGTTCCTGGGGGTTTTGTGCTCTTCTGCCAGGAAGAAGAGATGGGTGGGCAGAAAGCCTGGGGCTGAGAGTTAGAGGAGAGCTCTCTGCTTGCTTTGGCTTCATTTCTATTTTCCCTTTTCTTCTGCAGTTTGCTATCGGCTCCCTGATGGATGATTACTTGGGTGAGTGCCAGGGTTGTTGTCTAAAGGAGGGGTGTGTGGGCACAGGGAGTGAATATGGAATTTAGTGCCTGAGCCACTGATGAAAGAAACTCTCATGTTGTCTGCTTGGAAGACCAAGGACACTTGCCCCCTGGAATGAGAAGTGCATGGTTAGGGCTGTCCTAAGCTCTGGGTCTAACCACTGTGCTTTTTCTGTTCTCGGCAGGGCTTGTGAGCTGAGCACCATGACCTACGTTGTTTGGTCCCTATCTAGGAGGTGTGACTGTCACACTTACCATGTTGTCCAGAGGTCCAGTCTGGCTGCTGTCGGGGAGGCAAGGAGGGTTCCTTGCCCTCAGAAGACACCTGGCTCTTCTTGTGGCTTAGCAGCCACTCCCAGATTTTTGACTGTGTGTTCTAACCATAAAAGGTCCTTGATTTTCATGGAAGTGTCATCTCCTTCTTTCTTTGCTGAGAACAACTCATTTTGTAAAAAGGCTGGAGGGCGGGTGGCTTGCCAGCCCCTCTTTTCTTGGCCTGATGGCTTAACTAGCCTCAGCCACCAGGGGATCTGACTGACCCTCTTGCCAAGGTCTCAAGTTGACCTCACTGAAGCTAGGGCTGCAGTGCTGGGTCGTTGTTGTACAGTTGCTTAGTCATGTCCGACTCTTTGCAACCCCATGGACTGCTGCTCGCCAGGCTTCCCTGTCCTTCACTGTCTCCCAGAGTTTGTTGGGTCTTTGGCTTTCAGCAAATGGCAGTATCATTAGAGTCACTCTAGTCTAG